CATGGTATTTCAGTTAAGAAGAGTAAACAGCAATTTTCAGTAATGTTGTTGCTCTGTTCTAACACGCTGTATGCTGTGGCTGAACCTGCCAACATCTGGACTATGAATATTCACTGCCAAAGCTGCACTTGGTGGTTGCCAAACTGCTGAGCCCACGTGTGGCTTCACAGCTTGATATCCAGAGAACTCAACTATGATTCAAATTCTGAAAAATCTCTGGGTCTATGGTTGCAGTATGATTCAGCAGTTTGGAGGACAGCCTTCCTAAGGGAAAAAAGGAAACAGCAGCAAAAAAAGTCCCACACTGACCATATATGGCATACAACTCTTAACGAAGAAGTCAACTCCTTGAGCACCTTCAACAGAGCTCCATAACTTGACTGGTTGGTACAACATACAGCTTATCACATGCATCAGGAGCTGAATTCTGCTCCCCATGCAGAACTATGCAAACTCAGATGAACTCCACTAATTTCAGTGGTACACATCTTGTTTAAATATAAATATACAGAAGCTCCTCGACATGCCTCTTGCCGGTGCTATTTGAAGTAAGCCTGAAATCATTAACCAGGTAGACAGCAGCTTCCTTACCAAAGAAAGCCTCCCGTGGCATTCCAGGAATGCAGTTAGAGAGGTGGATTCAGTCCCCACCACACAAAGATACTTGATTTGTAAATGAATTAAGGCTTGTGAACTGACAAGCAACAAAACCCCTGGTTCTGCACACCCATAGAATGCACTGGGAACCTCAATCCTACACTAATTGCTCTGTGTGCTCCAGGGATGTTTGCACACACATAAAAGTTGACCATAGCTTGCCAAAATGAGGTGCCTACCAGCCTGGTACATGGAAGAGTTCAGCTGCTAATTCACATTGCAAACCCTATTCCTCAAACTTGGCTCCTTGCCTTCTTGAAGATAAAAATAGTTAAACTGTGATTTTTGCTTCATTTATTGATCATTCGGGTGGGCCAGCACTCCACCAAGGCATGAGAGTGCACAGCCCTCATGCTGTGCTGCTCAGCCCTGCCTCGTCAGACAGGCCAGACACCGTCCAGCCATCTGTACTGCCCTCATTCTTCTGGTGACGAAGCCTATGCTTCCTTTGCCAAGCAGAGTGGCTTAAGGAATAGTCTCTAGTCCTTACAAAATACATGCTCGGTCATTCGGGAAATAAATGAAAAGAAGTGGAATAAATGCTGCTCCAGTTCAAGCTGAACAATTTGTTCAGCACTACAGAATGTTGCTTTAGGAAAGCTTCCTTTTAATATAGTACATGAGACAAATGGACCCCTTTTTTCTCATTCCCTTCTCTTTAACAGTAATTGAATGAAGTGGAGATTGTGAGGTAAAATCAAGCACATCTGGGTCAATTAGCATGGAAAGTCAATTCTTTAAAACCTGATGGATGCCTCTGGGAATCGCGCACTTCACAGCACGAATCTCAGCGCAGTGCCGCACTCTCAGCCACTCAACTCAATTAAGCCATTACGTGGTTCTTTAAATCTGGGGATCCAGGGGAATTGGTTAATTGTCTGCTTGTCATGGTTCCTCCTCAGGGAGCATGTAAATGTCTTCTGTTTCTCCTATAGATGCACGGTGCACATAAGAACAATCCATTTTAGCTGACTTATTCAAAGCTTATTTCTCCCGTGGGAAAATTAATCTTCCTCCTCAAACAGTGCCCAAAAGAACAAAGCTTTCCAGTGGAAACAAACCACCCAATCAATATGAAATAGGTTTTCAATTACTACAGTCAAGTTTATATTTCTTTTTCCCTACAAGACTCAACTGCTTCTTCATGCTTTCACTTGTTTATAGCTTTCACAACCAAACTCCTCAGGACTGCAATGGGGTTTCACCATTCTCTGCAGCTATGAGCAGCTCAGCTACACCCTTGGACTTACCTATTGTGCTGTAAGTCACCTGCTGACTTTGCAGTCATCAAAGCCCAAGGGTGCCATTTAAGCGCTTATGAAGCACTTTACTCTGTGGACAAAACTGAGCATTGACAGAAGATAAGATAACTCAGATCACATCTGGATAGATGGGCAGGATGACACATCCAGGCCTGATCATCTGTCCCCACTGAGAGCGGCTCCAGATCCACTGAACCAAGAGGTCCACTAAAGAGATTTCGAATAACCAGCCTAAGGCAGACATTCCACTTTTAGAGAGTAAAATTAGTGAGATTAATCTGAGCCACATCTCCACACCACTGTGACAACCACCCAGGAAAGACAGACGGCTGTCCCTGTCTCACCACACCACATCAGTGAGCTCCTCTTCATGTGCACACAAAAGGCTGCTTTCACTCTCCTTTTGCTTCATGTTTCAGACTGCTGGACACCCAAAATCTCTAGTTGGCCTTGGTGGGAGACAGTTACTGGGTGCTCAGGGTTGTGGAAAACAAGTGACCCCATTTAGCCCCTAAATAGAGATTCAGAAGGCTAAAATTAGCTTCAGGTTTTTTTAAAACTTGGCATGGTATTAAAATCCATCCATGGGGTGAGTTAATTTTTTACCATCAAAGAGAAGTAAAATGACTTTTTCAAGGTCATACAGCAGGATGACTAGGATTAGAATGCCACAAATTCCGTGTGCTGTAACCAGAAAATTATTCTGTTTCCTAAATGTAACATAATTGAGACATAGTTTGATAAATGGAGACTGAGTAAGCCACACTAAATCTACTGATGTGTTCTGCAATGTCTGGATGCATCCCCAGCCCTAGCTATGAAAGGAAATGTAATTACAGTAATGGGAAAGTGCAGTCCACCCATCATTTGGGTTACCACACAAATACGTAGCTGACTCCAAATATAGAACTGCAGCAATGTTTCTTACACTCTTATCTCTCTTAGATGTCTTTTCCTTAAGTTATTAGCTTGCCGTCTTCTCCTCTGACAGGAGAAACAATCTATTTTAGTGTAGCCCTACCAGCAAAGGGCTGTCACATCCTTCAGGACATAGGGAACAGCTGCTCAAAGTTTTCACCAGAGAGCTGCCATTGGAGACAGACACCTTCATTTGCCCACGTAGGTGTAACCAGAGTGTTTGCTCAGGCGCAATGCTGGGGATGAGGGAGGGAAGCTAAGCCTGAGGAAGAAAGTTCAAGTAGGAGAGGAAGATCAGGAAACCAGAAAATTTCAAAAAGCACCCTTGTGTTTTGGAACCTATACCAATTTTAAAAACGAGGCATATGCCTCTTAGTGCAGTCTCAGCCATGAATGCAGGGCAGTGTAGAAATTCATAAGCCTCATTTAAACAGCCTAGTTTTGCTCTAGAGAAGCCAAACAGCATAGCACAGAGTCCAGGGTAACTTACACAGCTCCTGCGATGGCAGTTTAGACCGGTCAGCTCCTCAGGTGTAGAAAGGTAAATTTACATTGGGATCCTTAGCATATATCACTCACTTGGGCTACATCATCTGAAGTACCTGTCTTCAGAAGTATGTGTGTGTAACTTAAAAACTTCAGCTGCAGTCCCAGAGTACGTGCAAGGAATCCTGACAACAAACTTTCTGGCTCTCCTTCCTTTCTGCAATCCAGGGACACAGTGCCAGACACTTTTCCTCCTGTGGTGGACCGGCATGCAATTATTTTTGTGCACTTCAGCTTGCCTTGGCTACAGAAAAGAAGGGAGATATTTGATTAACTTTCATGTCCTGCACCAGAGTGTGATAGATAGCTGCACTTCCAGGTTCACCAAGTTTTTGTGGGCAAAGGAGAAATGTCTCATTGCCAGATGTCTGTGAAGGCATTTAGTGGTATCTAAAGTTGAAAAACGAGTTCTGACTAACTTTAAAATGCTAGCATCTTTAGGTTGTCATACCTAGATTTTTACCATGAGTTACAGGAGTATAATCAGAGGCAGCAGTGAGAATTAGAGAAATGGATTGCGACCTGCACATCCCACAAGGCTATCTTCTTGGAAACATCTTGCTCTTGCACTGAGCAACAGCGTGTTGCAGCCAAGTTGTCCTTCCAGCCATGGCAGGGACAGCCAGTCCCAACCAGTCCCAGCATGTTGGTGGCAGCTCCTTCGGCGTTCAGAGCTTCTGGACACAGCCACAAATCAGAGCTTCACATTGAAGGGACTCTGTCCACTTTCCACCCTCAACCAAAGCAACATGATAGCTCTGTTCTCAGTGAAAATAATATGGATGCTCATGTACATGCGTCTGGACCAATTGTCAAGCTGTTGCAGATCCAAGATGCTTTAATTTCCTATTTAGAAAAAAAAGGGAGAAAATAAATCAGCAAACTACCTCTTCTGCCTTCTGCCGTTCTTATTACCTGGAATTCACCAAGATTGGTGCCTGATCAACCATGGCTGGAAGAAGAAAATAAGGACTAGAGTAATCACAGTAAATTCAATCCAAACAAGCCAACCGCAGTGTGAAGGCTTCGTAGATGTTTCCTAATTCACATGTAAGGAGTAGCCCCAGTCCACTTTCTGCTAAAAATGTACCTGCATCCCAGAGTTAACACAGAGGCCAGTGGCAGCTGAACTGCCTTCCAACCATAATGTACAGTAGCCCCTACAGTTGAATGTATGTTATATATATGTTGAGGAAGGGACAGACCATTGCATGGCAACTGCATGTAGCATAGCCAGTTCTTGACTGCCCTGCATATTCTGTGATTAATCTCCTATTCTGGTTCAGAGACTGTGTAAAATGCTGTTACCATGTTTACATTGGCTTCACTTTGATGCAAGGGACTATATGAAATATCACACACACACAAAAGACAAGGCCTTCTTCTACAGCTGTCGACAGCACCTTTGCAACAGTGCTAAATAAATAAATAGAAAGGGAAGCATTTGCAATGAATAAGGACTTGCTTTTCTGACCCTCCAACACCCAAGGCAGTACAAAACCTGGTATGTTCTCCTTGGCATTACAAATATATACACACAGAAACATACTTGCACATACCTACATAGACCCAAAACCCCTTCCCCAGGAATGTGGCCTTCCCTTTTCAGATACGTACCAGCAGCAATGCATACACTGAAGAAACAGGGGCAGAAATCAGTCACGTTTTTTCACACAGTAGTTTTTATTCTGCTTGCAGCAATTCCCTCCTTTTCCAGCCACAGACAAGGGTTGAAACTAGATGAGCCAAAGGCAGCCTAGGCGGGATGTAAATGAGACCACACCTTCCAAACACCCTCCAATCATGAGGGAAGAGCATGGATGTAAATAAAACCACACCTTTTGCTGGACCAGCCTCCTCTTCTTGCGTAAAACAGTTTCCATGTACATAAGACCACTCCCTCAGACAGCCTGCCTATTTCCATTCCTGATGAGAGGCATGCAAGGAAGGCCAATCCTTTTTACAATCTCTAAAGCAAAACAGACAGGAGCGTAACATTTACCCTTCTCTTGCTCAGAGAAAAGCTAGTTCCTTCTTTGGAAAGCACTTTCTTGCTGTGTGTGGGATACCATAAGCCAGCACAAATCTCTCCTCAGTTTTCCTGTCAGCCATTTTATGAACAAATTGCCTGCCTACAGGATATGGGTACACATTTTAAGATGTAACTTCTACTGTGCACTGACAAGCCTTCTCAGTCTTTATACTGACATTAGATAGGTGCTTTCCTTCCAACTGGGCAGAGTTCAGAAAAATGCAATGGAAACAGTGAGATCCTCCTCCGTTTTCTCTTATATCCTTCTTTCCACATGCACATCCAGAATTGATTTAGAGATTTCCAACCCAGATCAAAGCAAGAGGCTTGTCCCAGAAGGTAAAGAACTAAACTGCAGCCAGGCTACAGTTTAACTTTTTCCAGATGTCAGAGCTCACTACAGTCATCTCTCAAATTGATTCTGGTTTGGGCCAACAAGCAACTTAAATATCAGTAAAACATTACTATCAATGAGAATCATTTAACTACTTAGATACACTTAAGGTGTCTAGGTTAGGCAAACAACTTGAAGGAATTCTGAGAGGAAAAACACTGTTCTCATCTACACTCTTCACAGTAAAAAAGTCCTGGAGGAATGAAACAGGCAGACTCCAACTTCCTAGAACAAGATACATGAGGCAGAATGAAAGTGCTTCCATACCACACACTTTAGCCAAAAAGGTGGTTTTAAATAAAATTGGGGGTGTACTCCATTCCCATAGAAATGGTGGAAACACAGATGTTGTCCAAGCTTAGGAAACAAAATTGTCCACATTTTTGATGTTTGTACCAAAGGAAAAGCTACTGCTTTGAACATTTGATGGAAGACTGTTAAAGGAAATCATTATTATTATCGTGGCTCCCACCGGTGTTACAAAAGACCAGGATCTGACAACATTTTCCTTATAAATCCATCTTTCAGTAGAGTCTGAGTTGGCCTGAAATAGCTAGTTGGACCAAAATCTGGATTGTGATATCTCTGGAAGCAAAACTGCATCTGGCTGTTTACAAAATTCTGGTCTACAGAGACTGTGAGAGCAGAAGAGGGAGCATTTTTAGTGGTTAAAGCTGTCTGTCTTGTTTGTGCTGCTTTACAGCGCTGATCAGCAATCAGCATCCAAAAAGGAAGTTTGGAATTAATGCTGATGAGCATCCAGAAGTCTGCATGCACATTCAACCATCTCCTCCAGTGTTTTCTTCTGAAACATGCAGCTGGCACAAAACAGAGGTTGTCTCATGATATATCTGGAGCTCACATTTCCAAGGACATCCTGGACAAAACCCAGCAAGGACCACAGAAAGAAAAGAAAGATTCCCAAACATTCTTGATTTTCAGCAAAGAATTATTTCATGCCTCGGCTTAAAACTAGGCTATGTCTAAAACATGATTATTATACTAATTTAATGAACCAGTTCATTAGGCTTGAAGGGTACCACTCAAACCAAAAGACAGATGGGAGTTTTCCTTTTTGAGCCAGCCCCCCCAAAACTGCCTACCCTAAAGATGTACACTTTAATGGAAGCCAGAGAAGAAGTAAAATGAGAACAGCAGTCATAGGGTAAGTCTGATTTGACAGATACTTCATTTCATGGAGTAACAATACTGGTTCCCATCCATAGCTCCTGCGTCACTGCACTGTTCAGTGGCCCAGGCAACGCTCCCGTACATGTAGCACACCCCAGATCTCTATTTGCTTCTACAGCTTCCTTTCACACTTCAACTTCCATAGTTGTAAAAATGAAAGGAGACAATTGTGGAGTTCATTATTATTTCCCTGTATGAAGCTAATTAGGCACTGGGCAGAACAGCAATGGGCCCTGGTACAAAATCTACCACAGGCTGCTCTTTCAGTCATATGTCTATATGTTTTTCTGCTTTGCAGTTTGTTTATCTTCCCTTCAGTGTTTTCTTCTCTTACCATTTCTGCTCCAGTTTATGCCACACACCTCTTCTTCCTCACTCCTCCTTCTTCATAATGCTCAGCCCTTTTCCGGTCTCCATGCTCTGGCTACTGTCGTCTTGCACTTAACCTCCACTATCCTTTCAACTGCAACACCCCTAAACTCAAACCACCTAACCTGCACTCTCAGGAAACACCCATTCTGGGTTATTGGTTCTCCCCTATTTTACCAGATTTTACAAGCTCTTTTACACAAAGATGCCCTTAATATGTGAAGCACAACTGGCAAAAAACAGAACATGAGCGTGGTCTCTTCAACACAGTGACTGTTTTATTGTGCATTCCTGCAACACTCTGCACAATTGATACCCTTTGCACTATTAAAAATGCATTACCCCATCAATTATGTCTTAATTTTGCTAGTTCAATAGGTTAGATAAATCCCGTACATTTTAATTATCTAATTACTTAGACCCTTTAGGGACACAGTCGCTTAAACTTAGAACTATTTTGTGAACAAAATCTATATAATGGCATCTGAGATAAACCTTGAAACAAAATATTACAAGAAAGAAACTGCTTTTGGTGAGAGACCAATAAACACACTGTAAATTCTGCCGGTTTGCACAAGAAACACTGAGTCGTGAATGACTATTCCAGAAATGGAAAAACAGAGGGTCTCTTGACATCCAAATAGGGTGAGCAGGCAGTGCTCCAACAAACAAATCAGAAGTGGAAAGAGAAAAAAAAAAAAAGTCTTCTCGTATCCAAATAGTTTTGAAAATGAAAACAGGGACTAAGAAAGAAGAATTAAAACATGGAAGCTGAAGCCTATTCCCATATTTTATTGCGCCACTTCAAATAAAGCTAAATGCAGGCTCAATCTTGGTGAGAAACAACATACTCTGTTTTTTTCCAGTGTTAGATAAGACTCACTGACGAAGATGGAGTTTAAAATAAAATGGGATATAATCCGTGCACAGAAAAAAAGGTCATGCTGCTGCTTCTTCTTTTCTTAAATGCAAAGACGACTTTTCTAACCTGTGCACTTGGGAGGTGATAGATCAGGTTAATAAGGCCCCCACATCAGCTCCTCCCCAAGCCATTCTAGAAAGCAGTGAGTCTGAAAGAGCAACTGCTGGTAACACTGACAAGTGCTTAATGCTACTGCTTTTTGCTACGAAAAGCAGGAAAACCTCTGAAGGAATAACCTGCACCAGCAAATGCAGCCCACAATTGGGTGCTCTGAAAGCATCCCTGGAACATCACCCTTCTGGGAGATGCTTGAAGGGTTATGGCAGAAACCGAACTACAGCTACTCTGGAAAGTGTTAGATCAGTGTTAGATCCTTTCTGCACGGGCACTTAGATGAAACCTGATAAACACAAAATGGTCATGAAGCAGCTGTGAGAAGTAACGCCTTTGTGTGTGAGTGCCATGAGAGAATGGTTTAGTACCCCCAGGTCTCCAAAGAAGCTCTCACTAGACTCAAACCCTCCTGCTCTGTGTCTCAGGAACCTCCCTTGCAAACCCAGCTTTGAAAAAGTACAACATGCAACTGCTGATTCTCTACAAGTAGTGAAGCTTTAGCCAACACTCCCAACCATAATGTGTACTCAAGCACAGGACTCAAGTAAAATCACAGAAGATGCAGAATGATGGCTGTAGGTCTCCAGAGAAGTCACCTTTACCTGATGGACTCACTGACCTGTTATCCAACACTGACCCTTTGAACTACCCAATCCAAGGCTCTGTATTGCAGACATTCACAACAACGAGATTTGTTTTAGAAACAATTACAGGACAGAAAACAGTAAAAGTGCATTATTAAATTTGCTTTTACACAATAAGCTTTAATAACTCTAAATGAATCATAGAATACTTTTTAAGTATTCTTTGATGTGGGCCAGAAAATGGATTTCCTGCTCCTTGAAGAACACTGGGTTTCTAAATGTCTCTCCAGCCCCACTTACAGTGGCAGACATTATAAAATCTCACTCAAATCATTTTTCAGGCCAAGCAAGACCAGTAGGTCATTGACACAAAAAGAATTTAAAATTAAACTCCCCCAGTGTTTCTCCCTTCCAAAACCAAGCCAGAACACTGACATGTTTAAAAACAAAATAATGCCAAGGTTTTTCTAAGCTTTATTTTGCAGAAAATTCATGCAACTGATGCACAAGATCTGTTTCATCAGGACGCCTCTTCCTAATGAAAACAAACTCCAATTAAAGCTTCCCAGTTGACAGAGAAATTTAAGGAGAAAAGACTACAAATGTTCCTGGTGACTTTTTTTCTCAGCTGAGAAAATGATAAGCTATATAAACTGCATTGAGCAGATGAGCAGGCAGAGGCCCCAACTTTAAACACACAATCAAAAATAGAGAGATGGAGATCTGAATGGGGATCTGAAGGGGATTTTTGTAGCCTGTCTGTAGTTCTGCCTGGTTCCCTGAGAGGAAAACAAATATCTGACTGGTTTATATACTCTTGGGGAAAAAAAAAATAATCCTGTCATAATTTTTAAGTGTGTTGATCATAGTTTATTTTTAGATCTGATAAACCACAGAAACATCTCCAGAAATATTCTAAAGAAACACAGTGACCTTTCCAGCTTGGAAAGCAGAGATGCTTTAACAACAACATCCAATGTGTGGTACAGGCTGGATAAATCTAGAAGACCCCTCGATGGCCTACCAAAAAACCTCCCATATTCACCTATATCCTGTCCCATAAAAACTTCTCACCTAGGTTACCAAAGGTAGTCTTAACTATCAGCTCATACTCAGAAGCAGATCAAGGAAGAGGGAGCACTGCTCTGAAGACAGAAAAGGATGCTCATGGGAACCCAAGCTACAGGCAGTAAGAAACAACTGCTAGCTTTACCTCTGTTTGAGGAGGCAATTCACCTAAGACCCAAGCAGAAACAAGGAAAGGTGCTGAAAAGGCACTGAGAATCAGACTGCTTCAGGAATGAGAAAATAACGGTCAGGAAAAGGAGAAAGCTTCCAAAATTAACTGGGATTTGATACACAAGTGATGCAAAAGTAAGTGAATGCTTTCCAAAGGGCAAAGGTGGGCAGGGAAGAAAGTTTTACCCCGTGCTCTGGTGATGACATGCTACAGCTGGTCAGGCAGAATGCCACCACTGTCCTATGGTCCATCTGCTGAAGCTATGTATAGCTGGGTATTGTATTATGTCTAACAATTATCTCAGCTCCTACACTTACTTGCCAATTCAAAACTTCCTTCCAAGCAAGAACAGTCATTAGCCAAGAGGATCACAGACCTTGGGTCTTTCTTCACCAGAAGTCTCCTGGCATCAATACTGTGGCTCCATGTCACATAAATTATTGGCACTCTACTGTCTTAACCTTTGGAGGTTTTTTCTTTCCAACTTCCCTATTATTCTCATCTTAGCTCCCCCCAAACACCTAATGCATTGGTTCACTTAGTCTAGGACTACCAAATGTACTTTAAGTCCTGCAACTACGTTCCTGCTTGGCTTTCTTGGTAAATATGTGTGGGACACAAGTTCTTGTTACCTTGGCTTTTTGTGTGTGTGTGTGTGTGTGTGTGTGTGTATTAACAGGGTTTTTTTACTAAGTGATGATAATGTACTGCTCTGTGTTGGTCTGCTGGAAAAGCAGGAGAAATGAAGGAATTTTGAATAAAAACATAACTTTGCCAAGATCTGCTCTGATAGCCTTCGAGAAACAAAAATTAGACACCTCATCCATTCATCAACAAATTTGGCTTGAAATACAGCATATGTGGTTTTCTTCATGGAATTATATCATAATAAAATAACCTTTTTAATATGTCAAAAGAGTATTACAAATCTGCTGTGGACACAATGTAAAATGAAGCCTCTGCAGGAAAAAATCTGTGACCTCTAGCACCAGAAACACGCATTTATACATTTTCAGCTAAAAGAATGATTCAACAGTAACCATGCTGCCCATTCATCCTAAACCACAATGAAGAGCAGAAATAGAAAAACACATCTAGTCAAAGTGCTGGATGCCTTAAACCCTCAAACATCAAAATCTTTTTTGGCTTTTTTTTTTTTCCCCTGAAAAGATACAGTGATGAAACCAGAAAAACCATAGAAAAGGTTTGGAATTATAAACCACTTAATGCTTGTTTGACTCTTGGCTTTGTCTTTGTACAGGTATTGATTCTTCAAATATTCCAAAACATATACCATGTCCAAAATTAGTATCTTGACACAATGCTTTGCTCTAATCACACCCTGGGTTTTTATATTGTTAGCTGCCTACCTTTTGATTCTCTTCTTTCACACAATCAATCATACTTTGTTGCCAATTTCCTCAGCAAATGTTCTAGGAAGAAGCACTGACAAACCAAGCTGAAAGTGCTTTAGAAAGAGTGGAACAAAAGTGTAGGTATCTTTAAAAGTGATTTATGTGACACTGTGACACTGACCCAGTTCAGTGCTCTCCAGCTTTTTATTCCTGCAAGAGTCCAGGTGAGTGCAACAAACTGTGGTACAAGTTTCAGTATGTTTCTGACTTTAATACCTTCTATAACTCCTGCATCACTGAACTAAGGGATATTTTGATGCTGCTCTGAATTTATTTCATTTTCTATTTTTCAGTTTATTTTTATCTCTGGTTAACTCCATTAATTTGTAACAACCAGCCCTAAGAATAAACAAGAAACATGAGGTTTAGGCACAATTTTGCCAAATGTATAAATATTCTTGTTATCTTAGATGTTTATTGTTGAAAAAAAACAGCCTTGCATTCCTTGAGACTTCTAATATACTCACCATAGTTTCATTCAAACCTCAATACATTACCTCCTGAAAGCAAAACCAAATTCCTTATGTCTTATTTGGAAACTGGACCATTAATTTTCTTCTTTTGTGTATGTTAGGCACAAGGTTGTGGAACAGCCACTGAATTTATCAATATACTATACACAAAGAACGTGGATTTCTCCCAGATTACTTTCGATGACTGTTCAACAGTCCAGGAATAACAGATGTACAAAAAACCCAGAAAAAATTCACCCAAAGTATTGTTTTCCTTCCCATCCTATGTTTGCCATTAAAATCAAAAGCAATGACCTGCTTGCCATATTTTCCTCTGCATTCTAAAATAACACATTTAATAAGTAATACACAACATTGTAATTTCTCATGATAGGTTACAGAAACATAAATATGATTTTTGCATTTCTCCTTTAATTCTTCCTTTTTCCTTGCTTCACTGTCTTGTTACAGATCTGTACACTGAGATCAGGAGGATTTTATAAATGAAAATGTGCCTGATTCACTCCTTTTGGCTCATTTTGGATCATTTGCTTTCCTGATCATTAAGTAGCTCCTGAAAATTACTTCA